AAAACCAACCAACCAACATCAGCCGTTGTTTACAAATAGCCAGGTTAGCCATTGTTGCACCGGTTGATAAAAAAAAAAGCATTGTGCGGTAATTACTCATACTAAACACTGTAGCAACACGTCCACAGACAGCTGTTGAACAGCACTGTTTGCGAAAATTTCTATGAGACACAAGTACACAGAAGGGCTAATAAACAGTATAAACTACAGCTTTCACGAACTGTTGATACTCGGAGCAGCCATCTTTTTGACTTTCCAAGTCGGAAATCTGACTTAAGGGGGCATTCACTTTGGGACTTTGAACTCGAAAAATCCGAATTCCCATGTCAAATGGAACGCACCATAAGTAAGGCCAAACATTTCATTTGGTCTGAATTAAATGATTGGCTGTGCTTGAACATGTGTTTTGTGGGAGTGGCTTTAAAGGAAGGCCGGGGGGGGAGGGAGTAGGATTTTTCCAGTTGATACTTTCAAAATCTAGCTGGCTCTTGCTAGTTTCTCCAACATTACGTGTCCCAGCTTTAAGTCATCCCTGTGATTGCTGCAACAAAAGATAAAATGATTGCCACTGTTAAAACTTTCCAAAGATGTAACATCCTTCCTCACATTGTTATAAATAGTATACTGCACTGTCTGATAAATCTTCAAACTCATTGACCTATTGCTCAAACTGGACTGTCTGGATCATATTTCATGTCCTTACCAGTAATTGACACAACACACCCCCACCAGAGCTCCCCCTTGTAATATTTTAATGCAGGGCTGTTCTGAATTCCCAGTAACATTGTAATTAAAAAAATAAAGATTGAAATAAAGATTATAGAGATTAGTACCTTCCTAAGATTCCAGACAGTCTGGAAGGTTGCACATGACTGGTCATACACCATCCAGATCAACATTGCGATGTGTCAAAACCATGTCAGCAGTCAGCAGTATTATTGAATGAGCCAACAAGTAAGTCAGACACTGGCCACCTTTGGTGATAAGGCGTCTCTATCAGGCATACTACACTCAAAGGGTGCCAAAGTCATGCTTTTTTAAAAAGTGGTTTTAACCCAGTTATCTATTGTAAAACTATGGAAATATGACATAATGAATGTTTCCATTCCATCAACATTTGCTTTTGTCCATAAGCTGTGGACTTAAAAACCTTCATTGTCTCATTGCTTCTGTGGTTGCATTACAGATTATGTTGTAAAGCAAATACTGTGGCAGTGAGAGCATTTAACTTGCTCAAAAATAACTTTACTACTACCACCACTACTTGAAAACCAAATAAAAGCATCATATTCCCTGCATTGCAGAAAACTGTGTGCTAGTTACATTATAAATTATAGCTCATGATAGCTCTCTTCTCTTCAGCCTTCAGCAGTTCTGCCTGAATTCCTTATGAAATGAAATGTACATGACAAACGTATTTTAGCTGCTGTAAATAAGAAAGACATCTTAAAGGGTCCTCAACCTCACCTAATGGGACTCCCCTGGTTAAATACATAATACCATACGTTTATCACAATCAGAATCAGAAATACTTTATTGATCCCCAAGGGGAAATTCTGTGTTACAGTTGCGCACATTGCAAGACAAAAGGAATATAAATAAGATAGTGGTATATAAAGAAATATATAAATATCAGAGTAAAAATATAAAATAAAGAAAAAATATAAAGGAGTGTGGATATGTACAATATTCATATAGTTAAAGGAAATGTTATGGTGAACAGTAATAATGATAAATAGTAGCAGCAGAGAGTATTGCAAGTATTTAAGCAGGTGTTATTGCACAAAACAGATGATAATGTCCAGTTTAAAACTAACGTCTAAGTGTCCGTGTGTCAGACACTTAGAGGGGAGTTATAAAGTTTGATGGCCACAGGCAGGAATGACTTCCTGTGGCGCTTATGCGCTGCTGTGAAAAAAGGTCTACTCTTGATTTTGGTTTTCATTGTTAAGCTGCTAAAGCAAACAAAAGGCTGAATAAAGGCAGAGCATTCTCCAGCTTCTTTCTGTCAAATGAGATGTTATAGGCAATTAGAGAGGCATGCTGTACGTGCATGATGTACATAACTCACAACTGACAAGTTTTCTATAAAATAAGTATGCTGTTTTCTATAAAGTGTACTGAGGCCTATGAGACTGAACTATAAATAAATTAAGTACTTTACAAGCAGGTGTCTGCACCCTTTGTGATAACGCTTGTCTGCATGCTGATGTTTTTTTAACTCAGCTTAGACGATCAAAATAAGACTTCCGAAGCCTGCCTTAGATTGTCGGGACACTGACCTCGAACCTGGGATTTCCACTGCATGTCACATTCACCTCATTCACACACTGATGGCACAGCATTCAGGAGCAATTCGGGGTTCAGTATCTTACCCAATGACACTATACCATGCAGAGTGGTGCATTAAGAGAGTTCACAATCACAGCACAGACTGCGTATGCTGAGATGATACTGCTGTCAGGCAAGGAGAAAGAGAACGACAGAGTACTTGATCTGCTTTGCTACTGTATCTTGATAAAGGATGCTAGTTCTCTTGGGAATATACTTTTAGACACTGAGAGGTAACAGCTCGGTGTCAGTGCTTTTCAGTAGCTGTGCTGTGTCTCTGACCCTTGTTCCCTTTTTGACTGGTTGGCTGCAATGCTGGTGATTCAGGAATTTGAGGGATCATACCTACATGTCTTTGTATACCTTAGTCTGTTTACTACTAATTGTGTATACTTTACATTACTTCTAATCATTTTGAAAGCACGCCATTGTGCTTTAGGGGAATTCTGGAATGTGTTTTTTTACGACAGCTGTTATTTTCTACTCTTTTCTGTGCAGTGAGTGACTGTGGAGCAGAAGGACACACACACACCACCCACTACATCCGCACACACTTGAAGTATGACTTAACAAAGAGGAACATCTGGCCATCTGTAGAATAGTACAACTAAGGGTGAAATGTATTTGTGCAGTGTAGCTCGAGGTCATGAGAATATTCCTATAAGTTAAACTGCAACAAGTTAGCTCAGTATTGCTGGGGCTGTTTACACTGTAACTGACAGTGTCAGAATCATATGGCCCATAGCGTCCCACCAGGTGTACCAGTTATACTAGATACCAGAGATCCTTACATAGGCCCATGGGCCTGTCAAGGGGACCACATATTTTCTCTATTTGCAGTATCTGAGAGGACGTTTGTTTGAATGTATATGACATGACGAGATGGCACTGAGGTTGATATTACAAAAGGTTTTCACATCTAAAACATGAGAATGACATAAATCAGATGAAGCAATCCCAACACTCCCTCTGAGAAGAGAAAGAGTTTCTTATCATTCTCGTCGTGCTTCTTTAGAGCTGCACGATTTGGAGAAAAAGTCATACTGCGATTTGCGATTGTGATTCGCTTTTTTTGAACAAATGATGCTATGAGTCTACTTGCTTAATTATCAAGGAATGCACGAAATACTGACATTTTGAAATGTGTATTTCTCAACAAAGTTAAACAATATGTATAACAATAACTAGTAAAACAGAACAAGGGGAGCGTGTTGCTCTACGGAGGAGGCAGCCAGAAGTGGCAAATATTGGCACGCTGGCACCGGCTCAATGAACATCTGTCTCATGCAGAGTCTCTATCCACAACCTGCAGGAGGAACTGTACATTCATTAGCTTTTCATATATTAGTATACTATTTTACCACTAGCTGAATATTATGTCCAGTTCCAGCTGTTTCATTTCTGTGGGTTGTTTTTATTTATTTAATCCTTGTGCAGGAAAAGGCTCTACATTGGTCTCTAATGTATTAATGCTAAGTACTAACTTGTCAGTAATCATATTGTTCAACATTTAATAATCTGCTGTAGCACGTCAAACTTTTTTTAATGTCCCGCCCCTTCCAGGCTGCGATTGGTTGGCTGATGTAAAGTGACTGACAGGCACGTCGGCTCTGTGAGAAGGTGAACATGTTGAACAACAAAAGGCAGCGATACAGCCAACGTTATATGTCCAGCGAGCCAAACCCAATCCTTCCCTATCTTGTCCCCGTGTTCTTCTGTCTGTTTTATTAAATCGCACACTTTTTGCGGTTATGTAATCGCACATGAAGACATCGCGATTGCGATTAGATTAATCATGCAGCCTTATTCTTCTTGTATGTGCTATTTCTAAAAGTAGCATCTCCACATTACAAGCAGGATCTTGAGAGTTTAACATGGTTGATTTAGAGAATAATTAAGCGTGAAGCTATAACTGTCTCTTTGTTTATTCACCAGCTTAACGCTGAATTCCATAACAGCACTCAGCGTCCTGATCTGCAGGTCCACCATGCACAGACAGTCAATGGAAAGTAGAGTTTTTAAGATTCCTTTATACAATACTGAGCAATTAAATGCAAGGAAATACCAAGATCCAGTAGTTCCATTAAAGGATAATGGTGCAAGGAAGCCCACTTAGCCCACAAGTGAGAGCTACATTTTCTAAATTGAATGTTTTCCTGAGAGGATGTCAGTTAACAAATTAAAATAGCATGAATTTTATTCTCACTACCAAAACTAACAGTAATTATCAGTGAAATGGGTAAATACAGCAGGTAGTCACAATATAAACCTTCAAAATGCTAAAGGAACTGTTGACATTTTGTTTTCTTTTACAAATAAATATGCTAATTTGCTTTCTTTCTGATATAATGATGCCACTTGCTTGACAAACAAGAGACCACTAACAACAACAAAGCCACAAGTTGTCATGCTACATGTTAATCTGTTCATTTGTTCACCTTGGACACAACCAGTTTCCCCAGTTTCCAGTCTTTATGCTAAGCTATGCTAACAACATCTTGACTCCAGCTCAGGACTCAAAGCACTGACATGAAATAGATATCTATCTGCTCATCTCAATCTCAGAAAGAAAGCAACACAGCATACTTCGCAAAATGTTTCCTTTCAAATGGAACACTGATCTAAGGCCTCAGAAACAAACAGGCTGAATAAAAAAGGCTGCAACTTACAGCGATTTCCCTGCAGGCAGACATCGATATTCCAGTGCCTTCTATTTGTTTAAGTGCATACTCCTTCTCATCATTCCTGTAGAGATAAAAAGAGAAAATGGGACTACCATTAGAAAATGGCAAATATTTTGTGAACCAGCGGCCTTCGCAACATCAACCTCAGGAACTCCGACTCCTATTTTGGCCTTTTGGGTTTTGGTATTAAAGCAGGAGGTGTTTTGGGAAGCAGAGAATTACTGCAGAGGGCATAAAAAAGCCTGTAAGGTTTCGACTGTCTCTGAGGAATCCATGTCATTAGAGATGGCCTTTGGCAGCAAAGAGCCGTCCATTCACTGCAGGAGTGCTGCTCTCCCCCGGGTCTGGATAACTGCCCTGCATGAATATCACCCTTGATGCAAAGACAGATGCTCAGGATTGAAACTATCCACCAGCTAAGGGCACAAATACGTTCCATGCAAGTACGTGAGTGCAAATAAGAACACACCAACACGCGACCCTGTTCTCAACAAGCGTATGCAGACATGTTTAGCTAGAGCCTCATCAAAATGGTTAGCCATGGCTGGAAAGTAGATCTTGTGTAGCTTGAAGCGTTCACATATCGCCTATTTGCGTGTCTGTTATTCGTTTTCACTTTCTGGCATTTGCAGGGTAGGATTTCCAGTGCATGAAAACCTGTTAATAAGTGAAATGTGAGACTGCAGGGCAGAGCTTCGTTCAGCAGACATTGATTATGAAGATATACAGTGTTCCAGTGTATGAACCAACCTGAGCAGACAGCAGTGGACAAAATGAGCACTAAAAGGAAACATATTCTATTTAAAACAGTGCAAAGAGGCATGATTAAAATGTAGACATAATCTGTGGACAGCATCCAATAATAATCTAATTCAGTGAGCAATTGCACAGATCAAACAGGCCCTCCTGGTCCTAAGATCAAACACACTTCAGCCTAATTTGCATTGGAGCTGGACATGGATTAACTGGAGCACTCAGTCATACATCTCTAATACTAATTGAGCTCCACAGATGCTCAAAACAGCACATTACATTTAATCGTTTGGTCTGTGAACAGAATTTCCTCGTATACATTTAGTCAATTCACAATAAAACAATTAATGCACTACTCTGTTACACAAAAGCAGATGAAAAAGTGAAAAGAAAACCACAGAACATGACATCTAAAGATGAATATGTGTTCATAAGTTTTAGCCTTTTAGTTTTTTCTTCATTCAGACTTAACATCAAATATCACTAGTTTCCTTCAGTCAATGGACAGCTCCTCCATATAATCCTCCAGGTATTTGAATTGGCATTTTTAAGTTTGCAGAGAAAAGGAGCTTTGCTCTCTTAAAGCCCTGACACGTAAATAAAAAACAAACTAATGCTGAAAAAGTCTGACGGCTGCTTTACCTCATGTTTTCTGTTAAAGTTGCATTTGAAATAAATTCCACCGCACTTACAACTACTACTAACTCACAAATTAAGTGTTTGGCCTTTAAAATGTATAAAATATAGCCATCAAAATTTCCTGAAGCCCTGGGAGACATCTTCAGACTGCTTGTTTTGTTGAACCCACAGTCCACTCCAATTCCAAAAAGTATTTGTATCCAATAATATAAAACAAGCAACTCCTCACATTTGAGTCTGCAGCCAGGAAATGTAACGTATGCTTGAGAAATTATTTAATGGATCATCAAAACAGTTACCCATTAATTTTCTGACCATCAACTAATCAATTAGTCAACTAATTGTTCCAGCTTATGAACACATTGCAAAGATAACAACAGACAGGAAATCACTCCCAAAAAGAGAGATTAATAACAAACCAACCATTTTCATGTCGCTGTGAATCTAAACATAAGCCCAGAAAATGTCTCATCTAGCACTGTAAAGTTTTGCTTATTTTGCTTTTGCATTTTCAGCCTGAAATCACTGATTACCAACGATAAACGGCCAATCAGAGACCTCTCTCTCTTGCTCTCTGAGTGCCCCCGATGCCAAGTAAACATGCCGGAACAGCTGCTCATAGATCCAACAGGACACTGCACTGTATTGCTGGTTAGTGTGTGCCAGCAATGCCAGCACAGGCCTCTGCCATTACACCACAGCGGCTTGCACACAGTCCCATCATGTCTCTCTCCAAATGTGGAACACTGTGGAGGCACAGTATTGTTTGTTTCCAACACACAAAAAAGGAAAAATACATCTTTGAACCCGCATGTCACTGTTTTGTTTTTTTCAGATAACAACTACTCTCCTGATAAAAGTGCAACTATGATAGCGTAGCTTACAGTATACTATACTGGCTGAAGTTACCATGTTCATTTCTGCAGCAGAGAGATGCACACCCTGGTGGTTTCGGCCACACTGCTGTCATCCTGGCTCCTACATTGACACAATTCCAGATTGTATGCACATGGAGATTGCCCACCTACTTGCCTGAAACACTGCAAATACATTGTCACACCTATACTTCCCTTTTTCCTGCCAGCTTGGATAAACTTGCTAAAGCGGCATCTCCCCTAAGGTGTGAGACACATTAGAAATGTGTGGTATCTCAGATTGTTCTGCAAAGAAATTAGGATTATTCATTTCCAGAAAAGTTTGCACTGCAGACAGAAAGTAGTTTGCTGCCTTTCAGTTTCCACTTCAATAACCCTTACAGGTTAAGTTCACTAGGAACATGTGATGCCCTCCATCCCCAGGGCCTTGCCTGCCGGCCTCTCAGAATACAATCCAGGCTAGAGTGCAGGCTGACTGACACAACTCTCCAGATTCCACTTATAGTTGTATAGTTTATGTTTCCAAAGACAGAAAAACCACAGTATTACATATTACATGCTGTAGTATTGTATCCCAGTATTTTGGTGAAGCAATTTAGCTGTCAGTCAGGATGCAGTTGGAGTAAATCCTGCTTTCCTATTGTGAAGAGATGTACATGAACACATACAGTGAGGAAAATAAGTATTTGAACACCCTGCTATTTTGCAAGTTCTCCCACTTAGAAATCATGGAGGGGTCTGAAATTGTCATCGTAGGTTCATGTCCACTGTGAGAGACATAATCTAAAAAAAAAATCCAGAAATCACAATGTATGATTTTTAAACTATTTATTTGTATATTTGTATCCAGCTGCAAATAAGTATTTGAACACCTGTCTATCAGCTAGAATTCTGACTCTCAAAGACCTGTTAGTCTGCCTTCAAAATGTCCACCTCCACTCCATTTATTATCCTAAATTAGATGCACCTGTTTGAGGTCGTTAGCTGCATAAAGACACCTGTCCACCCCATACAATCAGTAAGAATCCAACTACTAACATGGCCAAGACCAAAGAGCTGTCCAAAGACACTAGAGACAAAATTGTACACCTCCACAAGGCTGGAAAGGGCTACGGGAAATTGCCAAGCAGCTTGGTGAAAAAAGGTCCACTGTTGGAGCAATTATTAGAACATGGAAGAAGCTAAACATGACTGTCAATCTCCCTCGGACTGGGGCTCCATGCAAGATCTCACCTCGTGGGGTCTCAATGATCCTAAGAAAGGTGAGAAATCAGCCCGGAACTACACGGGAGGAGCTGGTCAATGACCTGAAAAGAGCTGGGACCACCGTTTCCAAGGTTACTGTTGGTAATACACTAAGACGTCATGGTTTGAAATCACGCATGGCACGGAAGGTTCCCCTGCTTAAACCAGCACATGTCAAGGCCCGTCTTCAGTTTGCCAATGACCATTTGGATGATCCTGAGGAGTCATGGGAGAAAGTCATGTGGTCAGATGAGACCAAAATAGAACTTTTTGGTCATAATTCCACTAACCGTGTTTGGAGGAAGAAGAATGATGAGCACCATCCCAAGAACACCATCCCTACTGTGAAGCATGGGGGTGGTAGCATCATGCTTTGGGGGTGTTTTTCTGCACATGGGACAGGGCGACTGCACTGTATTAAGGAGAGGATGACCGGGGCCATGTATTGCGAGATTTTGGGGAACAACCTCCTTCCCTCAGTTGGAGCATTGAAGATGGGTCGAGGCCGGGTCTTCCAACATGACAATGACCCGAAGCACACAGCCAGGATAACCAAGGAGTTTCTCTGTAAGAAGCATATCAAGGTTCTGGCGTGGCCTAGCCAGTCTCCAGACCTAAACCCAATAGAGAATCTTTGGAGGGAGCTCAAACTCTGTGTTTCTCAGCGACAGCCCAGAAACCTGACTGATCTAGAGAAGATCTGTGTAGAGGAGTGGGCCAAAATCCCTCCTGCAGTGTGTGCAAACCTGGTGAAAAACTACAGGAAACGTTTGACCTCTGTAATTGCAAACAAAGGCTACTGTACCAAATATTCAAATACTTATTTGCAGCTGTATCATACAAATAGTTAAAAAATCATACATTGTGATTTCTGGAATATTTTTTTTTAGATTATGTCTCTCACAGTGGACATGCACCTACGATGACAATTTCAGACCCCTCCATGATTTCTAAGTGGGAGAACTTGCAAAATAGCAGGGTGTTCAAATACTTATTTTCCTCACTGTATGCACAACTCTTAGAGGTGACATACTGACATAGTCACTTAAAATTCTCTTGATGGATTGTGGAGCTGAAATAAAAACAACGCTACACTGCTTGGTTCACTTGGATTTGGATTTGTTATGGCAGTACAGGTGTAACGAGTAACTCTGCACTGCAGTTAGTTAGTCAGAACTGAGCCATTGTTAATGTCATCAGTTGCACCTGTCCTTTAAATTATTTTATAAGACAACATAACACCACCAATGCACCGGGCTATTCTTGTCACAAATTAATACCCACAATAGCCCGGGTACAAAACATGAAGGAGTAGAGCACTCCGGTGTGTATTAGCACTTTATTTTTAGAAAAGTATAGTTTAGTTTTTATTTTATTATCATGCCAAATATTTGGCCAGCCCCATATGGGATTACAGTTCACTGCTATTTTATACATTTTCTGGTAATACATATACAAAAACAACAACAACAAAAATGACCACATTATAAAGTACTTCTAAAAAGTACACCTGCATGAAAATGAATGGCTGGCCTACCCGCCTGTCTACCTGCGTGCATTCTGCCCGTGCACTCACTGGAAGTGAACATGAGTTTTGGGGAGGGAGGGAGGCCTGATGGTCGCTTGCTAGTTTCTCCAATGTTACCTACTCAAGTCCCTGTGCTTCAGTACACTCTTGATCTTTTCTCTTAAGTCTCCACTTGATATAAGATTTGGCCTGCTCTGAGAGCACCAGACTGGCCTGATTGCTTGTGAGCCAGTTGAAGCACGCTTAACCTCTTCCTTCATCTGAATATTTTAGCCACTGTATTTCTTCAGTAATTTGATCAGTATTTTTTAAGAAAGCCCTTAGGTACGCTATATACAGTGTATCCCCTGAACAAAATCTATAAAACCTTAAAAGAGGTTATTACCTCACAGCATTAAATAAGCTCTCCTGTGTTACTGCTGCAGAAATGACTGCCATTGACCTGCATCACCCTTTTGACCTCACCTCAAATCTTTATCATCTAGCCTAGTGAATACAATAAGACACTGCAGGCAGCCTTGACTGGGCTTTACTTCTCAGTGAGTCACAACCTTCATGGTTGTAACTTTAATCGCATCTGGTCACATCTGTCACATCTAGCTAATACCAGACCCCTGCAACAGTCCCTAAGGCTTGTGCAAATTTCTATTATATATTCTAGAGGATTTATCAAATTGTGTTATTACAATTTTATCTCAACAATGACTTGCTGTATTATTGCAATTTTATAAAAAACATTTACTAAGGCACACTACTGAATGTGAAACAATCACATCTGGTCATCTGCAGTCACATCTGCCTCATACCTGATCTCTGTAACATTCTTTTGAGGCGTGCAAATGTTGTTTTTGAAGGTTATTAAATTGAAATATTGCAATGCCATATCAACAGTGATATACTGTATTATTAAAATGTTATATCAATGACAAAGTATTTCATGTGGATTGGTCACATACCTGATCCCTGTAATGAGGTCATTAGAGGCACTAATGTTGATATAGAATGTGGGATCAATACATCACTGCTTCATACCTCTTGCTTTGTTTTACAAGCAGCCAAAAAAAACAACAACTAAGATATACAATTTAAATTATGAAAGGAAGAATAGAAAACAAGTAGCCATGCACTAGAGCACTTCTTGCATTCAATTTACTTTCCAACCTTTCAGCTCAGAGTGATTAACCTAACTTTGGTGATCTTACACATTTTAGAATAAAACAAATTTCACTATTAAAATAAAATGACGAGTATTTTTGTCAACAGGGTCTGTGCCAATTCTGGCAAAAATAGGCACCCTGCTACAACAGAAATGTGACAGCATATTTGTCCATCTTCCTGTCCCTGTTATACATTTTATTCACACGTGCATTGCACTGCCACATGCTTGACAGTATCAATGTAAAGAGTAATAGCAAACAGATTACATTCAACTGCCAGTCTAAAAAAAAGTTTGGCAGCGCATAATGTTAAAAATGGGAGGAGGGAGCAGCTGGGCCGAGAAAAGACGCTGAAATGTCACTATCACGTTGAATGACGATCCCAGCGCTCTCCAGTGCGTTTACAAACGGTACGTTCAGAACAAGTCCTCTTCGTTGCCGCCGTAAAGACGAGACTTGTCAAAAAAATAACCGCTGCTTTACCGTGTTGTTTTTCGGGGGGTTGGCGAAGAGGAGGAGGAAAGGGAGGAGGGGGACCGTTGATGAGTGAGTGAGTGCGTTACATGAAAACAAAAACACAGAGACACGGGTTATCGCAACGGGGAGGTTCAAATCTAATGCCCCGTTCAACACATAACCGAGGTGTGTGTCCACAAAATGCACCCTGCAGTCAGCTTTCAGTCAGTAGAAACAATAACATTCACGGTTATCTTACCCGTCTTTGCGCTTAGCTTTATAAACGTGCCCGTAGGTGCCTCGACCCACTTTGCAACCTTCATATTCGAACAGATCTTCTACTCTCTCCCTCTCGGCCGCCAGCTTTGTTTTGAAGTCGTAATCCATTTTAACCCATAAATACGTCTTAATTTACAATAAAATAAAATATTAATTATTACATGCATTAATTAAATAATCTGGTCGTTTTATTCCCCCACCATTTCCTTGTTTGGGATTTTGGTCTGCTCCGCTTAATGTTCACTGGCTCGTTGACGTTTCTAATTGGCGCGCAGGGCTCTCTGGGTAAGGTAGTTCTTCTGAGCAGGCGCCGCAGTTCGCAAGCTGGCAAACGGTGATATTGGAAACTACAACCCGCGTTTCTCTCTGCGGTTTGTTGCACTTCGCGTACTCATGAACGCTCTTCAAACATGCAGGCATCGGTGGTTTGGATTTCATGGTCCAGTGTATAAACACCTTTTTTTTTTAGTCTTTATACATTCTTTTTTTTATATCACTGAGCTGTTAATTACATAGCATATATGCCAATTATTATTAAGGTAGTGCAAAAAAAGGCTAAATTAGGTCTTTACAGAAAATAGAAATTAATGAATTAGTTTATTTTCAGATAAGGTCAAAACAACACATTATTATTATTATTATTATTATTATTACTACAGTAATTTCCAACGCAGGATCTAAATCAAATGCTTGCTATGTCATTATTTTAATGGTTGCTAAATGCAGTTACTTATTGACTTGTGCAGTTATAATGTACAATGTAATGTTTATAAAATGCAGTCCTTTAACTGCAGTTAATTCATTTTTTGAGTCAACATTGTGTAGTTGTTTGTGTAAGAACAATAAATGAATGCATTATTACGATTGTTTGTAGCGAGAATTTAATGTACAGACATGTAATCCATATGAACAGAAGCACTTAGTTCACATAGAAATTTGCCTAAGCATATTGGAGCTCTAAATTGCAATGTTTATGTGATACATAGATAAAATATAACCACATTTTAAAATAGGGTCGCAGATTAACATAATTTACTGTCATACTATTATAATGTAGCCTAAGTCTAAAATGCAGGGGTGTAGGAGCGACTTTGAACCTGGGGGGGACGCTGAAATGCTAGGGGGGTTCGGGGCCTGCCATATGAGAACGTTCTGATTATGTCCTCTTTGTAACATTGTTATGTGACTATAAAATGGGGTAGCTGTGCCTCAGGATGTAGAGCGGGTTGCCCGTTAATCAAAAGATTGGTGGTTCAATCCCCCAGTTCAATTCAGTGTATGAATGTGTGTGAATGGTCAATTTTATGTAGTGTAAAAGCGCCTTGAGTGGTTGCATAAAATAACCATTCGGCTATAGAACTTCCCCCTAAAGTCATAAGAGGAATGTGGAACTGCAGCACTTTCATTACCAAAAGAGGGCATTTCAGGTATGTCCCTAATGTTTGTCACCTTTAGGGAAAGTTATGCATGCAACACAGAATGGATATTAAACAACGTAAGAGAAGGTTTAGAGTCTGTTGTACACTCTCTCTCTATTCATCCCAATAATGATTGTTTGCCGAATAGCCTAAAGAACAGCTGAGTGAAAGCCAATATTAGTTACACCTGTGACATTCTGTTTGGACGACAGTAATCGCTATAAAACAAATAGCAACCATGTTAACTGGAAAAAAGAAACAGGTTGATTTCCATCGAAATTAAAAGTAGATTAGGCTACTGGCCCAAAGAAACTACTGGAGTGAAGAGTAAAAATATAGTTATAATAAAGGAACGTGAAAAGTGACCAACAATTTTGTTATTTTATTTTACAAATTTGCGTTGCTTTTAACAAGTTAGGCTACTACCCACCCAAGCTGCAGGAATCATCACTGCTGTCTTTAAGTAACAGCAGCACAAAAGAAAAGTCTGTAATAAAGAGGCACTGTGCTGCACCTGCCAATAGACCTCTTTTTTTCTTCCTCAACTTTTCAGCACCGCCTTTGCGTTGTGTTTTTTTTTTTTTTAGAGCCAACTCTGAAATTGCTTGAGGCAGGCAGGCAATGCGAAATAAAATGTACTGTAGTTTTTAACTACATTCTATGGTTTTTAATAATTTTGTACAGGACCACGGCACGCTATGTGTTGGCTGTAAAAATATAACGTCACGTGAGGAAACCCCTGTTTTTACAATGATTGATAGGTCCCTGAACCAACCGCATAGCACAAGCCAGAGCCCTACAATCTGATTGGCTAAAGTTGAGAGTGACGTAACTGTGGCTAGCATATAAAAGCACCGCGCCATCTCCATTCAGTGCTCTACACAGTATGGCCGGCGATATTAGCTAGCACTCGCTAACGGTATTCTCTGCAAAAGGGAAGACGGTAACTCAAGAAAATCAACACCCGGATTGCTTAAAGGACTGTACCTCAATAAATTATAACGGATCGAGGAAGGTTTCATTAAGCTGTAAACGTTACAACCGACGTTTTATATTTTTTGTTGGGTGTCTGTTGTCTCATGATGGAAGATAACGGTGCACATTTCTTCGAGGGGACAGAGAAGCTGTTGGAGGTGTGGTTCTCTCGGCAGGATGAGACCAAAGGAACCGGGGACCTCCGTACCATCCCAAGGTTTGTCCGTCCTCTGGAGCATATGGAAATGTTGGCTGAAACACCGGCCATATGCTTGGTTTCATTCCCCCAGTCCGTGACATGTTACCAGTTAACTTAAATGTGGCGAAATCTTGTTGTCCAGTGGTAGTATACTCTCTGTAATCATTAGTAGAGACGTTTTATAGAGGCCTTTGTCCTTAGTTAGCTAGACAGGAGTAGGAAGCGAGTCAATTTCACACTAAAGCCCACTAACTTAACGTTACTAGTAAGCTAGCTAACACCGTCACTGGAAAATGGCCACCTCCCCCTTTTAACAGTGCCACTTCCAAGCTGAGTCATTCATTCTTCATCGAGGACATTTATGGCAGTAAACATTTTAGTATATCGATGTGTTCCCTCTCTTGTTTTTGTGAGGGATAGATCAGTTCTATAATATAGCTGTCTTGACAGCAAGTTGGCAGCCCGTTTCTAGCTGGCGAACCTTAACTTAGCAGACGTTTGTTCCTGGGAGAAAACATTAAAATACTGTTCGCTGTCTCCTGCTGTTTACTGACTCGTGATACGACTTAAATATGTCTGTCGTTATTTTAAACCGTCTTTCATTTCACCAACGTTTATCCGCTCACTTTAATGCTAACATTAGGCGGGCTTAATACATTTTTTTTTTTTCTTCCCCCACCCGATCGGTGCGCACGCGTTTTTATTCCCCCAGCATCGATGTCGGGACTCCGTTTGACAAACGTTATAGCAACTTTAACGTTATATCGGAGTGCTTAAATGTACTAAGTTAAGCTACATGCTTTACGTAAACCAAACCGGGTTTAATAAAATGACATTGAGGGTTTGTATGGCTGTAAATTAGGAGGGTTTTTTTTTCTCTCTGCGTCATTCAACGAGCGGGCCTCGCCGAAGGTGTCAAGCATGTGGTCGCCTGTCGTCACCGCGTGTTTCCTCTGTTGCAGCGACCAACACGGACACACACTGACGTAAAAGTCACAGATCCTTCAAATTTCAGTTTCTGGTCAACCACATGGGATTAGTTTTGCAATGAAGATAGGAGGGTTGAAGCTTTGGTTGCCAGTAAGACCGGACCTCAAATGCCGTTAAATTTCAGCCATCAGAATGTTTTGGTATGAGATCTCATGACTGACCCGGAGCTGCTTATTTAATTTATGTTATGTCACATATTGCACGGCAGCCCCAAGATCTGTAGGTTCGACTAGCATTGCCTGCAGTCCTTGTTCCGGTCACGTTTGCAGCCATGGAGGATCTCTCCTCCCAGCTCCTCTGATTGGTTAGCGGGTCTCCTACTGTGATTTGCTTAGAGGCGCTGCATTCAAAGAACGTGGAATGTCTGAGTGATGGGACATTCAGCGAATTGGATGTGAATGGTTGTTGACCTAAGCCCCTAGTCAACAACACCAAATAAATGTTAGTGTGCCTCAAGGCTGAGGAAAGGGAGTCAGTCATACATTTATAGTTCAAGATGACAGAGTTATGTCGCTATCTGGTGCTGAATACAATTCCCACCAGACAGGTGTTGACTCTTCAGTGTGGGAGTAGAGCAACTAGAGGTGTTAGTCAATTCCACAGAATAACCAGCCAGCAGCACGTCCTTCTTTCCTGTTTTTACTTGCATTTTCTGTTCTTCTACATTGTTTGGGGTTTAACTTTTTTGTGTGTGTGGGGGGGGGGGGGGGGGGGGGGGTGTTAAACTGCTTGACACAGAGTTCAAGAATAATTCTGCCTTCAGGATAAGTGACTTTCCTGGCCATTACGTCGATTTTAGAGAGGTCTGTTTTAAGAAGTGTGTGTGTGTGTGGCCGGTCAGGTCAAGGAGGACTAGCATTAATTTAAAGCCTGGCGGCAGATTAACCGCTCAGAGGGATCTCAAAGGGCCTATGATTCACAAATGTGGAGCTCGCTCACTTTACCTCTGCTGTCCTTCCTCGGGGGTCAACAGCAGTCTGCTTCTAGTGATTGTCAAGCAACTAGTCCTGAGGACCAGTTAAAATCATGATCAATTATACACACTTCAAAATGTGGCCCTCATGACTCCGCAGCTAAATGTTAGTTATGACGTCTTGTGAATGTAGCTGTCTGATCATTTTTATGTTCTGTCGTTTTAGCTCTCCAGTCTTAAATTTTCATCTAAAGTAGCCAGAATTCTTGGAACCTGTGTCATCTTGGTACACCACGTGTCCCTGTCTTGGGCAAGGATTAAAACTCTGTAAACTACTTGCTGGCAGTGTAATCGGGTCCTTTCCTGGCATCTACTTTCTTTTAGGAAAATCTGATGCTGCCGAGCAACCACAAATAGCCTCTGGTGTCCATTTCACACTGAAACGAGAGCTGACCCAGGTCTCCAGTAACGCTGTTCCTCTGCTATGACTCTGGGAAGCTGGCATGTTGCGACAGCTATGCCCTTATGTGGAGGTTGGGGGTGACGACGCATAATATTTTAACTGGGCAAGTCATACCTGTGGAGCTTATCTCTGTTTGTATAAAGTGGCCCGCCTGTTTCTGCTATTTCACATCGTATTAAATATCAAAGGCAGAAAGGAGAAATGCCAGTTTTACGTAGAATGGCTGCATCAGGGTTTAAGCTTGGTTAACTTTCATGTAAACGCACTGCAACCAGTAGAGGTACAGCTCCAGAATTAGGAAACATCACTGCAGACCCATCGCAACCTGGACACAACTACCACAACTCTGGTAGGCTCTACAGCGCTGTACTCCAGAACTTCCAGACATAAGAACCATTCTTTCCTCACACCATCCCTCAGATGAACCATTGTCAGCCATATAGGGTTAATAACCGTGTAACACTTAGACATCCTCTTAGCTACAAACTATATTTATAGTTTAAAATACACTAATGTACATATAATCCATCAGTGAATCTTGAACCCTGTATATACTGTACATAACCACCCACTAGATAAGTGGATGGACCCATTTTCACCTACTTGTATGGACTTGTCTCATCATTGTTTGAAATCCGGCTGGTGATGGTGGTGTCATCCGCAAACAGTTCTCTCCATGTCATGAGTGTACAGTGTGAACAGGAGGGGGCAGTGAACATAGCCCTGAGGGGTTCTAGTAAAATAAATTGCAAAGTTTAACGAAGCTGCTGGTGGCCGCATCTACTTGCGCCGCCAATGCCATGACAACCTATTTTTACTCAGCTTTGTTGTCCATTTCTACCTTCCTGTAAATTGTTCTTTGTAGTAAGATTGAGAGCAACTTGAAACCGGAGTCGAATTCCTTTTGTATGTGTAACATACTGTACTTGGCCAGTGAAGCTGATAATGCGATAAACAAGAAACGAGGCTGCATGCCTTACCGTTGTCACAAACAGAAGCAGGAGGTAAACCTTTCCCATCTATATTCGCTATCAAATAACCCCTGCGTGTATAATACACATCCTTACAGCAACACAACATACAGGTAATGAAAAGGGCTCAGTGTTGATGCACACGCAATACTCCCGTTCACTTTTATGTCTAAATATGGTGGCCATGGTCAAGAAGTAAAATGGGGCAGGACTATGAAGCTAGCCTGTTCACCTTTAGCCTGCAACGTGACATGGTTATCTTATTCTCTGTGGGGAGCAAATTAAATTTGGAGACCACAACAACCGACATGTGCAGCTCTGGTGATGAACAGTGTGGGTGTTTATCCCATACATACATACATATATGTAAAAGATGTTTGACACTTGACATAGTGTTGTCTCCTAATCATCTGTATGAGGTCTGTTGGTAAGTTAATGTAGGCCTCTGATCGCTGAGGCACATCATAATAATAACACATGCGCACACTCACTGAAGTAGGTAGTCAACATTCATGACAGATGGAGTACACTGATTACATGACACCCAGCGTCTCAGAACAATGGTAATCTGTTAATTCAGCATTTGCTGCTTTGCTTCTATGTCAACTGTTGTGTTTGTGGACTCCTGGAAGTCCTAGCTTTCAAGTTTCACCTAGCTCTGTTACTGTTCCTAGTTTGGACAAGCTTGACAAAAAGAAACATGGCGACGCCAAAGAGTTTAGAAGCAAAGAGGCAAAACCTTCATGCTTTTACTTGACAACTGCCGCTAGATAGCGCTGCCACTATTTTGGACTGAAGCTGTGCCTTCAGCGGGCCAGCCTCGCTCCACTATGCATTTCATCAAATTAATTGTATGATTAGGAATAAGAACATGTTGAGAAACTGGCTTATTATTCATCCCGCACTGCAGCAGCTAATAAGGGGCATGCTGGAGTAGAAACCAAACATAACTTTCTCATGTAATACAGTAACGTCACATCTATGAAGGTGGAACAAACATAGCTAGGAACCTAGTATTTATTTTCACATGTTTAAATAACTTATGTAGACAGAAATCAAAAATGTTCTCTGTAGTTGCAATATAATCTCTTTTCGGAAACATAGGGTTAATCTTTGTTTTTAACAATGCATTTAGACCTCATCAAGATAACATGACGTAATGCAGTTTAAACATATACTTTTATTGTTAATTGTACACTAAACAAAAGTACAACAATATACTAAAGTATTGATAAATAAGACTCAAATGTTTAAAACTACATAAAGGTTAAATAAAATAAATAAATTATGCAGTACTACTGATGAACTTGAAAGGAAAATGGTGTCTGTATTATGTGGGCCTGCCAAACAGAAACTATAACCAAACCCTGCTGCTGTTAATACAGCATATTCACATCTAGTTTATCCCTTTACCAACACTCTTTTCAAAGAAATGAGAAACCATTTTTCACCCACCACCTGGCTCTTAAACAGGCGATCTACGATACAGTGCCCGAGAGGAAACGCTGCTCTTGAATGCATCTAATACAAGTCCATCTACAATGAGGACCTTTTGCAACTTTGAGATTTCACACTAACGTTGCACATTTGAAAGAGGAGCAAGATAAATTTGTTGGACAGGAAGCTGTGTTAGATTCTTGTTCAGCTCACATTTATTTACGTCCCGTCTAGTTTAATTTCCAACCTACCAACTATAACTACGCATCACATTTCCTCCAAGCCCCCAGGAAGTGCTCTGTGCCATTCTAATGGTGTCCAAACCACAAACTTGCATTCAGAAAGAAACGGCTGTGAAATAGTGGTTAAATATTTTTTTTGAGCGTCACAACCCCTGCGAAATGACTCCTTCCTTCAGAATTTAATCCATTCTGTCCAATGACATTTGGAAAGTCTAAAAGAGCTGCATGATTATCGTTTTATCCTCATTCCAGTTAGCGGAGGGCACAGTGCAACAAAGAAACCCCTCCGCCTACCAGCTGTAATTGTAGAGCGATGCCAACACGTAAGTTTAAATGCTCAACGCGTGACTATGGGCGTGGACTCCACACAGAAGTAAAAACTGGCCTTGATATGCACTGTACAGTGCCAGCAGCAGGTTGTGAACATCGGTCATAAATTGGGAGAAATATGGAAAATCAGGATTCTGACCACGGGAGGAAACCAGGAGAGGACAAAGTCTCCCAGGAAAATCAGGAGGGTTAGCAAGTATGTTCATGAATGTTGTCAGATGTATTTGGGCTAAGAGGACAAGTGATGGGGGATATATTTATTAGTCATTTACCGTGAGCAGCTGATCGCTGTATTGTGTGGCTGTGAAAGTTTATTTTTTAATTGTCATTAATCAGCTGTTATCAACGCTGATACCGATTTATCTGCAGTTGGCTCATATCGGCACTCTGATAAATTTGTCAGGCTCTAACGACAAGTTATGTGCTCTCCTCCTCTTCTTACTCTGTATTTACACGTAAACAAGGCATTTAGGGGTTTTATTCTATTAGATATTCTATCACTGTTTACATTAAACTGTTAATTTCTGTGATGGTTTATAG